TAAACAAAGGAGGAGGCTGCAATGCTTGGTAAGAAATGTACGCATTATCCTGCCCATGCAATTGTAACCCCTCTGTACAGTATGTTCACAAATAAAAAAAAAAAAAAATTATCAATCCAGGCTGTGGTAGCCTGCTCAGGTTGGATACTCCTCCCTGAGAGCTCCATCTAAAAACTTCTACTTCATACCTCACCCAGTAGGGTGAGTCCTACAAGCAGGCAGAGGGGCCTGGGATCATCACTAGTTTACCTGGATGCATGTGCCCTAGGTTGCTGGTAGGGAGAAAGTGGAGAGCAGGGCCTGGCCCTAGCCCCACTGGGAAGGGTCTGCAGGAAGCTCCATGAAAAGGATACTAGGACATGCTTCGGCAATCCTTCCTTTCTCACCAGCGCCACACACTGCACACTTGCTCAGAGAAATGTCCCGCAGCCTGCTCAGCTGACTGCATGAAAACAGAGTTTACATGTACACATAGGCATGGATGCTACCCATGAGCCTTGTTAAACCCCAGCACTTCATACAAGAAAAGTTACTGAAACCTGACAGAAATACAAATACCTGCCCCTACGGAGGGGGCAAAGCATTACAAGAAGTGATAAATTCTGGCATGTTTAACCCTCCTCGCTCCTGCCACAAGCTGCTCTCCCCACCCACCACACAGGATGTTGACCTCATTTTTTCTTCTTTAGTACTGGGGTTAGAACCTGGGACCTTGTCCTTGTTAGGCAGCACCCTATCACTCAGGCCATACCCTCAGCATTTTTTAGTTTTTCTTTTCTTACAGGGTCATGTGTTTTTGTCATAAGCTAGCCTCAAACCACAATCTTTTGACCTTGGCCTGCCTCCACTGTAGTTGGGGTCACAAGCACATACTGCTATCCCCAACAGTTTCTCCTGAGCTGGCTGAAAACCACAAGCCTCCTGATCTTCACACCTGAGATTCTAAGTGAGTACCACAGGGCCCAGCTTGTTTATTTAATCTCACTTCCATGCCCCTAAACTATTACAGCACTTTTTCACATTATGAACTAGATGTAAGAAGTGTTCTATATCAGAGCCTCCTACAAGTTTTCTTTTCTCTCAGCAGTAGACCCTGTGGCAGTGGTAGAGCTGTACAGCAGTTTACTGTACAGTTTACTGTACACATGTACCATGTTCACTCCTCTGTTGAGGGTCAGCTTGTCCCTCACAGGCAGTCGTGAACAGTCTCTCCAGGGAAGCACCCTGGACCAGCCCCATGTCTTGCTTCAATGCACTAGTACACACAGTGCCCATTCCTAAGTACTCACAAAAGGAATCCACAGTGCATTCTCAGACTGGGGAGGCTAAGGCAGAGGGCCAACACAAGCCACACAGAGACCTGATCTGAAAACAAGTAATAACAATGGGAACACAGAATTGGGAGCAAAGCTTCAATCCTACCACTCTGCCTTTGGCATTGGCAAGTCAGGTCAATCTGTACCTCACTCTGCACAAGTGCAATGCTGCTCACAATAACTACTAGGCAGACACATGGACAAGGGGACAGGCAAACGGTGGCATATCCATCCCGTGGTCTAGGGTGTAGCCTTAAAAAGGGCACTGTGCTAAGGGGACTGGGTAGTTCCAAAGGCCACATGTGACAGCCCTCTCTGGGGCTCCTGGAGCAGGCAGACTAGTGGAGACTGAGGCAGAAAAGTGGCTGCTCGGGACTGGGAGGAAAGTGGAATGAGCGGAGTGTTTAGTTTAAGTTACAATTTGCAACACTGAAATGATAGTGCAATCATTTGTTTATGTGACATGAATATGGTTAACACTACTGAACCTATACTCTTAGACACAGTACAAATGGTAAGTTTCTGACACTACAATTTTTTTTACACACTTTTAGTAAATTAACATTTGTGAAGTTTGCAAAATACTGCCTGGCATGTAACAATTCATTTTATTAGTACTTAATTAATCATCGGAATGAAGGAAATAGGAACTTGAGGATTTTAGTGCTCCCAAGCTTACTATGCCCTGAGAGTCTGGGCAGTTTTTCAGTACTTCTACAGTTTGGACTACAATTCCCAAGTGACAGCTGCAGTCTTGCTTGTTAGTCACAACAGACTAAAATCTTGGGAGTCACCTCGATAAGGGCCAGCCTAGAAGTGATAACTGACTGATGCAGCCCTCACCAAGATGTTCTGACCTGCCAACATGCAGCTCTCTCATCCTCTTAATCAATACGGTGCTGGCCAAGTATCAAAAGCAGTGATATTCAAGCCTTAGGGCCATTCAGCAGGAAAATGTAGGGCTATGTGATCATTCATAAACCAGAGAAGGAATTTGCTTGTAATTTGTTAATATGCACTGAACTCACAGAAAATAATATGAAAAAAAATGTCCCCAGCTCCATGAAAAAAATGAAAGGAAGTAGAAAAGAGAAAATGTGCTCCTTCTCTGTAGAAGATATTTAAATGTTTGTATTTTAAATGGAAAAACGAAACAAAGAACTCTAATCCAATGAAGCACATGGTTCTTTAAGTCCAATTAAATGGTAGGATAAATAGTAAAATAGTTTTATCTCTAGTTAGAATTAGTTGTGACTGCCTTTTGTCAATTTGCATTTTCTTAATTCTCAACAACACTCATTGTTGCACAATTAAAGAACAATCACAGCCAGGTGCTGGCAGCTCACTTCTGTAATTCTAGTTGCTCAGGAGGCTGAGATCTGAAGGATTGTGATTTGATGCCAGGCAGGAAAGTGTGAAGCTCCATTTCCAACCAACAAGTAAAACGTACAATGGAGGCATGGCTCAAGACCTAAAGTTCAAAATCCTGTACCCTCCCTCCTTCCCCTTAAAAAACTGCAGGCCTATGTCAAATGGCTACAAAGTTCCTTTCCACAGTAGCCACCAGGGGTCATTCCAAGCCTACCCCATCCAGGTCATCTACCACAGTACCATGCAGTGCTAAATTGGAATCAGCTGGCAAGTTCCTGTGTCCATGTATTCTGACTCTGCACTCTAGAGGAAGAGAATGCTCTGATGAAGAAGGTTTTTTAAAGCCATCATTAGTCTCAGAATAGAAACTGACTGAGAGCAATCCCATAATTCCTGTCTGAATTTCTGTGTCACTTGGTCTAGGATAGAACTCAGAATGCCAAGGGTCCCAAGGGTTCCACATCTCCCAGCTGTCAGAGGATAGAACCATGGGCCTGCTGATTGGTGCCTGTCGCCTCCCTGGCACATGTTGCCATGCCTGGCTTGTCACAAAGCAGGACATGCCACCATTCAATACAAAAGGGCCAGAGTATTAGCTCTGTTACAATGCGGTGAATACGGGCAAGTCAATGTTCTGAGTCCCATGTAGAAAACCCCATCAACCCCGTGCTAAAATAAGGATATTAATTAATCTATTCCTGAGATCTCTCTGATTTTAAGTCACTGGATAGAAAAAGTTACTTTTTGTCTGTTGTGGGGCTTGAACTTGGGGCATGAGCATTGTCCCTGAGCAATTCTGCTCAAGACTACAGCTCTACCACATTGAGCCACAGTGCTACTTCTGGTTTTTGGTGGTTAATTGGAGATAAGAGTCTTATGGACTTTCTAACTGTGATCCTAAGATCTCAGCCTCCTGAGTAGTTTGAATTATAGGTGTGAGCTACCAGTGCCCAGTTTAGATATTTATTTTATTTTTTTTATGTCTTTTGTACTTGAACTCAGGGCCTGTGTTTCGCTTGGCTTTTTTTGCTCAACACTGGCGCTCCACCACTTGAGCCATTCCCTCAAGTCACTGTGTAAAAAGGACAAGCCTCAAGCATCCACGTTTTGTCAGGGGAGTTTCCATTCTCTACCTAGCCGACACTGGACCACTTACCTCTGCTGCTTTAAGATAGAGTCAAAACCAACAGTTTCCACAGCTTTACTTCCAATTCTAACAACCTGCTCTCTCTCATCATCCTCTGGCCCGTCTTCTAGCACATATCGCTTCTTTAGTGCAGTGAGAAAGTCCACTCCAAAATTTACCTTGTTTGGACGAATAAAGGATCCTCCTGTTGGGTACCTGGAAAAGAAATTAACATAGGAATACTGTTTTGCTAACAAGACAGGGCCAAAAATGCAATGTTCTTCAACCCGAGCAGGAAAAGTCCGAGAGATTCTTATCGCCAACTGACCACAAAAGGCCGGAAGTGAAGCTGTGGCTCAAGTGTTAGAGAGCTAGTTTTGAGCAAAAGGAGCTCAGGGAGGGGCTAGAAAGGTAGCTCAGTGGTAGAGAGCTTGCCTTGCATGCCTGAGGCCCTAGGTTCGATTCCTCAGCACCACATAAGCAAAAAGAAAAAAAAAAGCCGGGAGTGGCGCTGTGGCTCAAGTGGTAGAGCGCTAGCCTTGAGCTGAAGAGCTGAGGGACAGCGCCCAGACCCAGAGTTCAGGCCCCACGACCGGACCCAAAAAAAAAAAAAAGGAGCTCAGGGACAGTGCTCAGCCCCTGAGTTCAAGTCCCAGGACTGGCACACACACTAAAGACAAATCAGCACACAAATGAAAACAACACAATAGAGAAAAATGTATAATTAGTATAATTAAATATAAGGGTTATATGAGCTTACCCAAGTATGGGAAGTCTCTCTGAATAGATAAGAAATATGACTAATTCACATTAGAGGAAACAAAATATTAGATTACAAGAGAGTGCTATTGTGCTAAAGATGAAAATATACTGCTTTAATTAATGAATGTATTTCCCACAGAACTGGAAAAAATTCAGAAAAATCACACAAATCCAAGGACATGAGGGTAGGTGTGTACGATTATATAATCACATTCATTCCTGGGTTCAAGTGACTTGAGGATGCTGGAAACCACCACAGTGCCCAGACAGATGGGGACTAGAATAAGCCAGGCCAAAGGAATCCTTTGAAAATTCAACGTATAAAAACCTACTAACAAAATATTGTTGATATTAAAAAAAATGGGAACACAGTATATATATAAATATATATACACAATGGCAAAGGGATCATATCTACATTTGGGCAAAGGCTGGGAATTAATACATCTGTTGGTAGTAGCAATAGTTTTTTGGGGTCAGTTGTTGGGCTTGAACTGAGAGCCTGGGCTGTGTTCAAGCCCCACAACTGACCAAAAAAAAGCCTATTTCAACGAAATGAAAAAAAAAAAAAAAAAACCCTGGCAGACAGTACAAGTTTCTCCAGCCTGACTGCATGAGAAGACAGGGCAAGGGGAAATGGGACAAGACAGTGGGCAGTCTGCACATGAACATTACTGCTGAGCCCATGTCCCTACATCAAGACCTCCATGAAGGGCTGCTGGGCATGCTCTGTGTCTGTCTCTTTCTGCTCAAGGCTAGCACTCTACTACTTTGAGCCACAGTGGATAACTGGAGATAAGAGTCTCAGATGTTCCTGCCATGACTGGCTTTGAACTATGATTCTTAGATCTCAGCTAAGATTACAGCCATGAGCCATCAGTACCTGGCTTCTGATTTTTATTTTTTAAAGGATAAAACTCATTACCTGACTCATGTAATTGTAATCCCTCTGTATATCACCTCTATAATATCAATAAAATTATGAAAATTATGAACAGCATCAAATTAAACAACAACAAAACTCTAGCTGGGCGCTGGTGGCTCATGCCTGTAATCCTAGCTGAGAAGGCTGAGATCTGAGGATTGCGGTTAGAAGCCAACCCAGGCAGGAAAGGCTGTGAGACTCTTATCTACCAGAAAACTGGAAGTGGAGCTGTGGCTCAAGATGGTAGAGCTCTAGCCTTGACCAAAAACAGCTCAGGAATAGTGCCCAGGCTCTGAGTTCAAGGACTACCACGAACAAAAAAATAAGAATAAAATTGTACAAAGACCAATAGTAAAACTACAAATAAAATCAATCTTTCAGAATACGCAAATTCTAAACCCTAACTATCCCACAAGCCCAGCAAGCTTCTTCTTCTCCATCCCTCTTCTCCTACTCTTGAGTATGATCGTCACTGAGTAACCATGATGACACATTAGGAAACGTTACCTGCATTTAAAATACACAGTCCCTTCGTGGCTCCCATCATGTTTTCCTCTCTCAGGATTGTCCCATTCTACTCCTAACCAGAGACCTAGCAGAACAAGAAAGGCACATGAGTAACAGAAGGTGGTAGAGATGCTCCATAGCTTTGTGAGCAGGTGCAAATTACAATGGGCACCATCACACACAGCATTGGGGGAGGAGAGTCTTGGGAACAAATGAGTTACCTGTACCAATGGAACTTTAATCAGCAAACACAAAGCCCACAAAAAAAGCTCACAAAGTCCACAATGGTAAAAATAAGAACAGCAAATTCAACTTATTGAGTACACTAAACATGGATGAATTCTGAAGATACCACGCTAAATGAAGCAGGCCACCAGTCTAGAGTAAACCCTGTGATTTCATATAATGAGGGAGGGCTTAGAGGAGTCACTACCTAATTGGGCATGAAAATGGCAAACATGTAGCTGGAAAATGAAAAACAATACTTTAGCTGCTACCCATGCTGGTGGGAATAAAAACTGGTAGAGACTCGGTATTTGATAATTTTTTTTATCACAGTTAAGTGTACAGATACTCCATAGTAACATTACAATTCAACATTTTCATTTCTGGTTATATTTCATGTCAAAAGCTTATTTACGTACATATAAGCTATCTGAGAATTATCACTTAAGTACTATAGCAATCATAAAAGAACAATCTACTTGCTGGACGCTTGCTGGGCACCGGTGGCTCACGCCTGTAATCCTAGCTACTCAGGAGGCTGAGATCTGAGGATTTCAGTTCAAAGCCAGCCGGGGCAGGAAAGACTGTGAGACTCCTATCTCCAATAAACCACCAGAAAACCGGAAGTGGCGCTGTAGCTCAAGTGGTAGAG